GCGATTTCTTCTTTGTCCCACTGGCATACATTGTTTTCACATGTTTCTGACTTTTCCAAATTTCCTTCTGTTATTGATGACTTCTGTTTTCTACACCTCGGCTCCTTGGCCAAGCTGTCCATTTTATTTCCATACTCTGAATACACCACTGTCCTCTAGCAAAACCCTGCCATGCTCATCTTCTTCAGGAAGTCTTTTAGAATAAACAGAAGAGATAAACTCTCCATTACACCCACCCAGATGTTCTACATAGAGTGCTATGTCTTTCTATTCCTAAGACCACATCCTTTTACCTGTCTATCCACAGCAGGGAAGAATGATCAATGTATCTCAGAACTATTCAAGTATCTTAAAATCAAGCCCATTGTTTGTCTTCATACCTGGCCCAATTGTAGGCCACTACTGAACACTGAAAGTCTGCACTTATATTTCAGAATATAAATTCTGGTATTTTGCAAATCTTGTAGTTCTTACTAAGAAATCAACACTTTCATGTAGAAGATACTTGTGATCAGGCATAAAACATGACTCAAATAAATTCACTTTTTCCTAGTATAATGAATAAGTCAACAGAAGTATAAATCAGGGATTTGCTGATTGTCCTGCTGAGCACTTACAGATGTTAGATAGGAATTTATTTTTAGCTGTAATATGTTTGAAACTTATATATACGAAGAGTAATAATCCATTTTTCTGGTGGTCATAGTTTAGACAACCTAAACATTCTGAAACACATCTGCGAACTAAAAATGATTCACATGAAAGATGCAAGCCCTTCAGTCTGATATCTGCTTTTCTCCCTTCTTGACCTGGAAACTCCTCCTCCTCCGTTCAGCTCACATGTCACCTCTCACAGGTGGGGGAGGCTTTCCTAATCTACCCCCAGAACAAAACCTCCTGTCTCTGGGTTCTGTAGTATGCACCCCACACTGAACTATAATCATTCATTTCCGTGTCCATATCTTTTCCAAAGCTGCGGACTACCTGGGGGCAGTCTCAAGGTGAGATCCCCATTTAATCTTTGCAATTCCCAGCACCTCAAGCCACTGATGGCTTTTATCAGTTGAATCCAGCCAGCCATGGATTTGGTGATGCAGACATCACTGCTTTATTTCCATTTGCCATACCGCCACTGTGGCCAGCCCTTAGCTGCCAGCCAAGTTGGAAGCCTAGGCCTTGGGGAGACTGCTAGACGGCTATGTAGCTTCCTGAGTCCCAGCACATTGTACTGGCTCAGGATGTGGGACTCTGCCCCTGCTTTTCTCCCCTCACAGACTTGGTGTGCAGTTGCCCTGAGTGCCTTGCCTAGAAACCCAATTCTCTATAGGCCTGGGGCCTGTCCTGCCCATGGCCTATTCAACTTGGGCAGGCGTACATAGTGGGACCTTTTGACAACTATCCACTGAATGAATGAACACAAGCCCACCCATTTCACTTCATTAAAGAGGGGGTACAAGCCTCTCTCTCCCCTCAGATGAGCTTGTTTGGCCTTACACATACCACTTGGCTATTTAATTTTATTTGATATCTCTTAGTTTTATTTTTAGTTTTTAGGGTCACAATCAGGAGTACAAAGACTGAAGACAGATGGTCAGATCACTGACAAGAATGAAGAGTGAACAAAGAAACCGGAGGTGATCACAGACGCAAACACAGGGAAACAACAAGCAGAACAGTACAGCCACGTAAGGCTATTTAGCCTGGGAGCAATGGCGTGATAGCCTCTAGGGACCCAAGCGAATCACCGAGGGTGAAGGCCAAACCACAGGCAAAAGGGATGGTAAAATTCAGCAAAAGAACAATTTTGTAGCCCTATAGGGCATCAATACATCAAATTTTGGTTCAGTACCATGTTGAAAACCAGGACCTGAGTCATCAAGAAAAGGTTAAATGATATTTACTATAGTTTGTCAACAGGCTGGCAAGAGCAAATACATTTTAGGAACATTTCTTTCTAAAAATGCACATTTCACATTGATGTCAGAACTCAAAGCAATAATTCTCGTTTATCTAGACAATAGGACCATCTTATTCCCGGAAGATATCAGATGGCTGAGGCATTATGGCATAGACACACATCACGTACAATGAATCAAAGTACTTGGTAACTCAGGTATTCAGGGACCTGGACGGGGCCTGATTACGTAAGAGTTTTAAAGTAAGAAGTTCAGAGAGAAGTAATTCTGAGGCATCAGATGGTGTCTTTAAGTTATCATTCATATCCTGAGTTAGCCAGCTCCAAGCCAGATAAACTTCCCCTACCAAAATTCATCTAGAATGCCCAGATTTCTGCTTGGAGTTTGATTCTGTTACCATGGCTACCCTTCCAGTTCCTGATCTGTGGTCCAAGTTTCACGTTCATGATTCTTAGTCCTCTCTTTAACTTCTGGTGTCTTCTATTTGGAAATCTGGTGGCTGACTCTGGCTGTGCCCCATGGTTCCACCTCCTGACTCCCAGACTGGTCCACACGTTCACCTCTGGCCACTCTAGACCTGGCTCCTGCCCACTTGGTCTTGTTTAATTACTTCTTCACTCTTTGCCAGGCCATGCCAGAAGGTCAAGCGGCAGCCACATAATGAAGTATGTTACCCTGGGCTTTGCTTAGCTGTTTTATACATGACTCCAAATCCATCCATCCTGTTTGAATTACTCTCCCTTAAGGGTGGTACTTTCTGATTTGACATTTCTCTGACAGGAACAGTGCATACTATTATTGGAGATTCATTTCACAATGGGATATATTCCTTGCCTAAGGGATATATGGTTCAAATCCTGGCTGGTTATAGTCACTCAGGAAGAGAAGCCCTAAAAGTCAGATGCAAATGAAGACAGATAGTTAATTGCCCTCTGGGATCTAAAAAGGAAGTCATAGCCCTAAAAAGCCGTTAGAAAAGAGGTTCTCAAACTTTCATGTGTAAAGAGTTACCTGGGAAGCTAGGAAAATGTAGATTCCTGGGCTCTGCCCCTAGAAAGTCTAATGCAATTAGCTGGGTCCAAGAATCTGGTTTCTAACCAAAGCCTTAGGTAATCCTGATGCAGTTACTACTCAGACCACCCTTTGAGAAACTCTGACAAACACGGGAAAAGCACCAATTAAGGGACCCCACTGACCCTTTCTTTCTTAGAAGCTCTGATGCACCTTGCCTAAGATAGGTCATCTGGCTAATGCTTTCCTAATACTCATTATTGAACATCAGCTCAGTTCCAAGGTCAACTTATGTTTGTTTTAGTAAAGACAAGTGAATTCCTGTTTCCACAAAGAAGGTATTTAATATGTTCTTAGAGTAAGTGGGAATGGGTGTCTAAGTCACATTATTCTCTCAACTGAGGAAAAAAATGCTATGAAGAAAAACATACCATTTAAGTTACATGCCATTGTCCTTCATCACACAGATCTTCCCTTCTTAGAACATCTCCCTATGATAATTTCTTATTTTTCTTTTTTGGTGCACAAACAGGGATATGAATCCCTATGATAATGTCAAGTCTCAGGATTATGCCCAAATCAAATAGGTAAAATATTTTAACTCTAACAGCAATCACAGCTGCTATAAATAATAATGAAAATATCTACTTGATCCAGAAAACCTTCAAACTGGCTCTCCAGCAATATATATGTTAGTGGTGAGGAGGATCTGTACCTGAATGTTCTGATGCCCAGGAGCCTGGCAGACCAAGAGAAGGAAAGCCCAGGCAGTTAGGCAGGCTGTGCCTTTGACTGGGTAGGCCAAGTGTCCTTGGGCACTTCCCTAGGCAATCCTGGAGGGGCACCTCAGGAAAATCAGTTTAATTGGGAGGCTTCTGATGGAGATAGGATGTTTCTGGAATCTAGGATGACAGAAGATATTGATGAGCTATTAGATCCAGGAGCCATGTCTGATATTTGAGATAATGGGGCCTCCATTTATTTCAGGACGATGGCTTCACTTTTGCACTAACATGGTTTATGGCTTGCAGGGGATATATGGACTGACTGGTGCAACCATTAAGGATGCTAGAGCCCCATTCTTACCATTACTGTGATATGTGTGTGTGTTTTCCTAGGAGGATCTTTATTTTTTCTCCTAAATCTCATAACTGGTTATACAGATGTTTAATTGAGAGGAATAATTATGAATTATGATTCGTTTTCTTTCATACTTTCCTGTCTGAGTCATTTATCATCTTCATTACAAGTGTTTAAAATATTATAAAAGTAAAGGTTAAAAAATAAGCATTCTTAGTAGGCAAGCCCAAGTCCAGAAAAACTCAGTTTTAAAAAAATGTCATTTCTTAATTGAGAGCCTTGTGTACTAGAAGCCTGTGGTCTGCTAATTTACAGCAAAAAGACTTTAAAGTCAGAAAAAGAAGTGGAAAAAGTTGACTGAAAAAGAAATGCAGGTAGATTAACTCCATGAAGGCAAAGGGACAGTGGTACTTGATGGATAAGGATGATCAGAGATAGGATGACTTAAAATGTAAGAATTCTAGTAAAAAAGCAGAAGTTAGGAGCATATTCTGGGGAAAATGCCTAATTAGAGAATTAAAGCTGAACTGCTGACCTAGAGCTTTTGAACATTTTTACCACCCTGATATGCTTTGGGTACATACAGCAAAGAAGACAAATTTTATCCAGCTCGTATCTGCTTTCAACTCTGACCTCTGTCTACTGAATGACTTTAAATATGTTACGGAAAAAAAATGACACCACTTTAATTTCCAGCTCCATCCCCACCTGGCCAGGGAGAGGGTGAGTAAGTATTACCATGTTTTGTCTTTAGGCTTTCTGATATCCCTTAAGGACCAGCCTGAGGGACAGTCTGTTTTGGCAGGGATTCCTGGCCAGATTCAGAAGAGCAGGATTCAGGACAAGGCCAGTTCCCGTAACACAGCTCAGAGCCATACCACACAACTTGCTCTGAGGATGTTGGGCATTGTGCTTCATTAGGAAACAAAATATAAGCTTTCCACACCATTAGGAATGACTTTAGGAGTGAAAGCACATAAGACGATGCCTCACCTCATCAACAATGCACTGCAGAAGCTGGAGAGGCTGCAACGGGAAAGAAGAGAGGAAAAAGTATTAGCCTCTATGCAATATCTTTACAGTGGAGTGGAAAGAAAAAATCATTAATGCAATAAAATATAGCAAGATTAATCAACAACAGCAAACTCTTATAAAAACATTGATGCTCAGGATGTTCTATTATTTCTAATGGTACCTAATCTAATACAGGCAGTTAAAGGTTTGCATTTTCTTCAAAATGCAATTTGCTAAGTTTAAAACAAGGCATTCAAGCATGCAAAGGAAGCAGCCATCAGGAAAAAGAAAAGTGAATTTTTTTCTGAACTCATAAAGCTTACCATTAAAGATCCCTGGTTTTTCTGAATCTGAAAAAAGGCAATATGTAATTAGCATGTCATAATCAAAATGACTCACTTGGACACATTATGATCACTGAGAGAAAATTATTGCATTGCTGGTGGCAATTTGTGGGCATGTGTTAACACAATTTACATAATGAAAATACACAAATGTTAATAGCTCGCTTCTCATTTATAGGCGAAAGTCAGCAGAATGTTAATTTCACACAACACTTTTTAGTACCCTCCAGGTTGTATTAGAATAGGGAGAAAAACCATAATCCATTTCAAAAGGCTGTTTACGATTCAGATATAAATAATGTTTTATATTGCTAGATTGTGAACACTGGGCTTAATGTTGCAATCATTGCTAATGTTATGAAGCTCACTCTTTTTAAATTAAAAACCGATTTATTTAAAATTGAAATTAAATCATAGTCAGAAATTAGAATTTTGGATTCCTGCCAGCGTCTGCTCACAATCCCCTATTTTGTGAAGAAAACTTTAATTATGTGGTTGAAGTATTTGCCTCTCACTCAGGAGTGGGGTGAAGGCTCCACCTTTTCCAAAGTTCCTTCAGCCTGTTTCCAGGGCAGCAATGCTCTCTGGGAAAATCAAATTAATGCAACTTTTATACTGTTTTTCAGGGAATACAAGCAGAGTCAAGTCAGAATGCCTATTCCTGACCAACATTTTGAAGGCAGGCTACATCCATCTAACACCAACAAACCATACTGTTTGGAAAGTTGCTAATATGTGACACCAAATTAGTAACACAACCACTTAGTAATTAAAGTACTGTAATTAACATACATTTATTATACATACATATATATAATAAAGTATATAAACCAATGCCCACCCCCCCCAAAAATAACTGCAATTGTTACAAACTCAATGAAAATGGAGTCCCAGGTGCTAAATTTCCTAAGGAAAATTTCAGGAACCAAATGCGACTATTGACAGGTCAGTTGTTTGCTGGGATAACAGAGCTCCAACCAGCTGGACAGTCACAGTTATATGTTTTTAATGGTGCTTTTAAAAGTTCTTTCACACATGTGTGATCTGCACAACCACCACAGGGATGATCTCTGTTTTCTGATGGGAAAACTGGGCCTCCGGAAGATGCAGCAGGCCCAGGGCCGCGGTAGCAGGCGGTGGTGTGCTGGGGCTTCTTTCGTGCCCCCTTCTCTCCAGCATCGCATCTGCATTACATCTGCCTACACTGGCAGCAAAACACAAACTTCATCTGCATATATTTATATTTAGCCTGGTAAAGTGGACACATTATCCATTTTGGCAAGTGGGGTCTTCTCAACTGGACTGTAAGCTTCTCAAGGGCAGAAGCTATGCTTTCTGCATTTCTTTTGCATCGTTACGGCTTGTCAGCAGACCCTTTTACCTGGTACGTGAGCGTTCTAAGAAGAGCTTTTTCCCATTTATTATCTCAGCTGGACATGGCACCCACTCAGCCCTGCTCCAGTCTTATCACCCCTGCCCCAGTCACCGCTCTGGGAAACCTCTGTCCCAGGTTGACGGGCTTTTAGTCTTCTTTGAGAGTTCTTACATAATGTTGTCCTGAATTACTGCTCTTATTTCTCTAGTACCTCTGCATGAGGCTCTGCTGGTAAAGATTTACATTAAAAAGGAAGAAAGAGCTATTCACGACCACCTTGGAGTGGTTAAGGATCTCAGTAGCAGGCCATACAACCTTTAAAAAAGTCTTGAGAAGCCCAGGTAACTTCTCTTACATGAGATACCTTTGGTGTTTGCGTTTATTAAATATACATGGATACGACACCCCACCCCCACTTCTTAGTAAGATATCTCTACTTCGACAGAAGTGTTACTTGCAATGAACAAAGAATTATAAATCCATTTTTGACACCAAAGAGAATGGTTTCACGAATTGCCAACAGTGGGGGGATTACGGCATTCTCTAAGGAGAACATGCAGCAAACATTCTAAGTGAGATGTTTCAAAATGAATTCAGAAATGGACAGTGAGACACGGTTCCCAGTTACATATGAGTTGTGTGAACCAGATGAACTGAGGGGAGAACATTTCCTTGTAAACTGAGGTGGTAGAGAAGGTCTCCACTTTGCCCTATTCTATGGGTTAAAAGCATGGTTTAAGACAAGTTCAAGTTTTATGATTTTAATGCTTGCTCTTTACTACAAGAAGGGGAGAAACAGCCAATATCAAAGTCTTTTTTATGATCTTATAACTCTACTGTTCTGCCCAGGTTTTTAAAGGGAGACACTGTTGCCAGGTTTTATTACACAGTTTTGATAGCAACATATTATATGAAATCATCTTCATAAATTTTGAATTAAGGTAGCATTGCCAGTACCTGAAATTGATTCAAAATGCTTAAGATACTCAATTACTTTTTAACGCTGTTAGACAATGTGGTGACTTATATCTTCTATTTCACAAGAATTTGATGATGCAACATCATTGTAATTGATTCATTTTCTCAATTAAATAAAGCTACTGTGCTTCTTTTTATACAAATGCCACACAGAGAACGGAATTAGATGTATTCTCTCCTTTCTCTGTCTCAGATATATTGCCTTAAAGGCTATATTCTGTTCTTCTGTTAATTCCACTAGAAAATTTAATACCACAGTCATATTTTTCAAATTCCGAACTGCCATGTACTCGACTGTATTTATATTAGGCATATTTTTCACTGCTAAACTCTTTGTTGTTTACCTTTTTCAAGATCACATTACTGTACAGCTGTAGCCACCATAAAACCAGACCCAAACAAAGTCGACCTCTAGTCATTGCCTCCGCTTTTGCACACAGTTCATGAAAAAGTGAAGCCCCTGGTTTTATAGCACATTAAAAGTGGTACTAAGGGTGCTCCATATAAAATGTTAGCTTCGTGAATGCCTTTCTTTATTCTGGGTCTGCCTTCCAAATGCTTAGCTGTGAGAGCAGAGTTCAGAGGAACACAATAATATTGTTAGGGTTGATATATTGCCTGCATCTCACAACATATGAAATGCTGTTTATAATGAACTTGTCCAAGTCCACATTCCTGCTTGTACATTTTGCTTATGTTGAGTTTTCTGTATTTAACTAGTACTTTGGGACGATAACGGAACAATAATTGTTCCAGTCACACATTTTGCTAACCAGTCTCTAGAACTGGCAGCATCTGATACACTAACTAGGTGAACCTCTTCCCTCTTCTGGGCACAGCTTTTTTTCTTTCACCAGCTCTTGGACACAAGACTTTAAGCCACACTAAGAAACAGTAACCGCCTCATTCTGAAGCCAGACAGATCCTTCCACGTTTAAAGGGGGAAGAGTAACTTCCTAACAGGCAGGCCTAAGTGCCAGTCAGGTCTTGGGGTATTACTGTAGTCACAGTTACCATGAATTTCCTTGCAAACACCACACAGTTGGCCATTAGGAAAGCTCCTGTAACATGACTTAGGACTTTGGAAAATGATCCTGGAAAGGAAGCTGCCACTGAAAAAGTTTGCTTGTGGGGTCTCAGCTATTTAGCTAAGGCCTCTGGTGATGAAAAGCAGCTCTGGAAGTCTCACATTATGCCTGCAGAGATACTTTTTACCTATGGTGGTAAAACAGACTTTGCTACCAGCCCTTTTACATTATATTCAGAAGCAATCAGAAAACTAAAATGAATCCACCTATGTAACTTAGAGAAGACACCAACTATTGCTTTCATTTTCTCTTTTACTCTCTGAAATTATGGCTTGCCCTCTAGCTCTTGTCTGAGAGATTTATGTGTGGCCTAGGTCAGATCTTCCAATAGCAGTTGACAAATTTTCTCTTTACATATTTACTGCTTTTCCAGCTTGTGTTATTTTCTCTTAAATAGAAAAAAGAAATCTACAGCTAAATCTACAACTAAATCACATGGTTGGAATTTTTTAAGAATATCCAGTTTTTGTGCTTCTTTCTGTGTGTACATGTATGTGCTATAACTGGCATCACATTCTATCTTTCAATGTTGAACTCTGATTCTTTTTTAAAAACTCAAATTTTAGGAACTGTAGCTACTTGCAAAGACTCTCTTTTCGAATCAGATGAATTAAGCTGTAATTATGGCTCAATATAGACAGGAATTATGGTAAGCTGAGACTTTCATATTCTAAATGAAGAATAATGACCCAAAGAATTTTTTTAATGGAAGAGACCTCAGAGATGATCTACTTCAATTCGCTCATTTTACTGTTGGGGTAACAGAGGTTTAGAGCAGAGCAATGCCCAAGGTCATAGAGAGAACTTGGCCTAGAATTGACTGCTGACTCAGCAGGCTGTCTGGTGTGGAGAAGATACATAAACTTTTGAGTCAGAAAGACCCCTGGAATTCTGGTCAGATTCCCATGGCCTCAGAAGCTCCCTTCCTCCACTGGGCTCAGGGTTCTTGTCTACAAAGAGAAAGGATGAGCTAGAGGAGCCCAAAGATTTCTCCAAGGCAGAGCTTCCCATTCAGGTCCTGTGATATTTTTTTCTATCCAAGGGAGAACTGGTTCTGGCATTCAATCTAATTTTATCTGGCACTGTGCTGGGTGCTAAAACTTCGGGGCATATACCTCCAATTCATTATAATTTGCAAAGACATAGTGCCCAAATCTCAAAAGTCCTTCGATGAGAGAACAGAAAGATCATTTTCATATGACCACAAACTGAACACAGATTGTTCAGTGCCACTACTTTAATATAAGAGTTTCCAAACAAAGGAATGTTTAAAAAAAAGGAATAGAACAAAATTCACTCTGGCTAATGACAAATGGGAATTCTGACAAACTGATATTTTTAGATACTGAATGTGTTAGGAGACAAAATAAATGGATAATGTATATTATTACTAATAATATAAAATTAACAAGTGTAATTCACTTGTGCCATTCTCTCTGTTCTGTTCTTCAGCCTCTGTCCCTGTCCAAGTTCTTACCGTGCCTGTGAGTCTATTAGCATATCTATTAGCCAAGAAAAAAATAACTCATAAGACTCATTTAAACAAAACTAAATGATTTAAAACA